GGAAAAGCACTGCTTTTCCTGGCTCAGAACAGCTGGCCTGGCAGAAGATGTGCATGCACTGAAGACCTCCCATTTGATGGTGTAGGCTTATTTAATGCTGAGATGGACGACATCCTTGAAAATGTCCAGAAAAAGAGGACAGCTGCCAGACGCTGGGGAGTCTACCCAAACACCAACAGTGCCCTCAGTGCACCAAGTGGCTTCACCCCTACAACTCTGTTCCAACATGAAGCTCAATGGCAAACATCCTATATGCCGTACTACAAGCAACAGCCTTACAAAGCTAAAGCTTGTCAAGAAACTGCAACCAGACACAATGACTGCAAACCCAAGCATCATGTTTGATGTCCAGCTAGCCAAGATCCTTACACATTCTCAAACCCCCAACCTGTGGAAAAACTTAACTGTTTGGGAAAACATCACCATGGATGCTTGGGTCCTCTCCACTGTAAGAAGTGGTTACTTCATAGAATTCCACTATTGTCCACCATCATTCCACACTGTCACACTTCTGTGGCAAACCCTGAAGCATGAAATTCAAATGCTGTTACTCAAGGATGCCATAGAAACAATACCACCACATCAAACAACATTTTCTCTCTTGCTATTGCACTGTCCCCAAAAATGATGTAGGCCTCTGTCCCATCCTTGATCTCAGAGAATTGAATCAATTCATTATCATCAACAAATTCCGCATGGTCACCCTCAAGTCTGTCCTCCCCCTCCTCCACAAAAAAGACTGGTTTGCAGTCATATATGTCAAAGATGCTTACTTCCATGTGTCTATTCATCCCTCTCACAGACCCTTTCTATGTTTCCAACTTTAAACCCAAGCCTATCAATTCAAGAGGCTTCCATTCAGACTAGCCTCGGCTCCCAGGGTTTTCACCAAGTGCATACCTAAGGCTTCAAAAAATTCACATTGTACATTGTTGACTGGCTCCTTGTAGCTTGCTCACGCCAAAAAGCTCAGAAAGATAGCTCCTTCACTTTGTCTCTCCTCCAGGATCTCAGACTCACAGTAAACCTACAAAAATCAAAGTTAAAGCCTACAAGACTACATAGGAGCAGTTTTGGACTCTCAAATTGGTATCCTTACTCTGTGCCTTTATTCCCTCATGCATTTGTAACTGCGCTAACTGTTCAGCATGTTCTAGGCACCATGGCATCCATGACCTCGGTAGTTCACCATGTTCGCCTCAAAACACAGTCACTTCAGGCATGGTTTCTTGCCTTATACAACGTAATGACAGGTCCACCACACACCCTGCTGCGAGTCACTCCAGAACTCACCTCCCAACTCACATGGTGTCATTCCAATCAGAACCTGACAATGGGGTGACCATTTAAACAACTGTGTCCACAAATCCAGGTTACCATAGATGCAAGCCTCACTGGCTGGGGTGCACACGCCCAGTGGTCACAAAGAGAGAAGTTGCTCCATATCAATGAACTGGAACTTCTCACAGTAATAAAAGCCTGCAAAGCCTTCAAGAATAATCTTATGGGCAAGATGGTTTAGATGGTCACAGACAACACTACCACATTGCATTACATGCTCAAGCAGGGAGGCAGTCACTCTCAAAGCCTCCTCTATCTTGCAGTCGACCTATAGGAATGGTGTCTCACCCATCACTATTGCCTCACGGCAATACACATAGCCAATAAAGACAACAACCTCACAAATGTTCTCAGTCACAAGGAAGCCCAGATGCACGAGTAGGAACTAGATCAATCTGTTTTTCTTCCCTGTGCAAACGTTGGGGCACACTCTCCATCAACCTCTTTGCCTCTCAGAAGAACTGGAAGTGCAAACGTTACTGTTCTCACACAGGAGTCAGAAAAAACTCCTGCGGAGACGCATTTGTCGGCTGTTGGCCCAAGTCACTCACATGTTTCCACCATTCCTGCTCATTCACAAGGTTGTAGTCCACCTTCAACAAGACAAGATCAATGCTATCCTGATAGCCCCGTGGTGGCCATGGCAGCCATGGTTCCGGTTCTCCACCAGCTGTCATCCGATATTCATCACCTGCCCCACCTGTCTCACCTGCTTACACAACACAAAGGTCAAATTCTCCACCCAGATTTCCCTGCCCCTCACCTGGCAGCATGGAGGATTCTGCCTCCCTAATGAATGTCCTTCATCAAGCAAAGAAACCTTCCACCAGAAAGGCTTACATGTATAAATGTAAAAAGATTCAATCATTTGCCACTGCATTATCACTTCCTTCAGTCAATTCTCCTCTTACCACTGTTCTTGGGGGTTTTTTACAGTTAAAAACAAAGGGCCTTTCCCTTTCGTCTCCACAATTGTTGCTTATCAGCCACCAACTTCTTCAGACACCCTACTGTGAAATGCTTCCTCAAGGGGTTGTCACACATGTATCCTGATGCACGTCCGCCGCCACCTCAATGGTCACTGATGTTATTCATTCAGTGGCTTACAAGGACCCCGTTTGAGCCTCTTACGTCAACTGACTTCATGCTACTCACCTTTAAGATGGCATTCCTTGTGGCTATTACATCAACGTGGTGTGCTAGTGAACTGGCAGCCTTAAGATCTGACTATCTTTATCTTCAGTTTTACCCAGATAAGGTCAAACTCTTTGTAGATATTTTCTTTCTACCCAAGGTTGTTTCCCAGTTCCATTCACTCTTTGTAGATATTTCCTTTCTACCCAAGCTTGTTTCCCAGTTCCATTTATCCCAACCTTTGGTCCTTCCATCTTTCTTCCCGTCTCCATTGACTCTTCAAGAAAAAAAATCCTCTCTTTGTAGATATTTCCTTTCTACCCAAGCTTGTTTCCCAGTTCCATTTATCCCAACCTTTGGTCCTTCCATCTTTCTTCCCGTCTCCATTGACTCTTCAAGAAAAAAAATCCTCCATACTTTAGATCAGTGGTTCTTAACCTTGGGTTACTCAGGTGTTTTTGGACTGCAACTCCCAGAAGCCTTCACCACCAGCTGTGCTAGCTGGGGTTTCTGGGAGTTGCAGTCAAAAAACACCTGAGTAACCCAAGGTTAAGAACCACTGCTTTAGATGTACGAAGGGCTCTTGCATTTTACATAGCCTGTACGCAACCCTTCAGACATTCAGCTTGACTTTTTGTCAGTTGTCAACTCCGTACTAAAGGTCTTCAAGTCACTTCACAGAGGATATCGAAGTGGGTTGCTTCCACTGTTCAGCTTGCTTATCAGCTTGCTTGCCTCCCGATCCCACAAAGTATCCGCCCCCATTCTACAAGAGCGTTGGCAACATCTACAGCTTTTCTTTGTGGCATTCCCCTGCCAAACATCTGTGCCTCTGCCACATGGTCATAGCCATCCATATTTATCAACCATTATAGAGTGGATATTCAGCAGAACTCTGATGCTGCGTTTGGATGTGCTATGTTATTATCTATCTTGGCGTGACACCCTCCATCTGGGTAAGACAGCTTGTTAGTCACCCAGAGCATGATTCACAGATGCTACGAAGAACAACAGGTTACCTACCTGTAATTGTAGTTCTTCGAGTGGACCTCTGTGATTCACACATCCCGATCTAGCCTTCCCTCTGTCATGCCCTACTTGTTTTATGTGGCGGTTGACCTAACTAAAAGGAGAGCATTGGCGCCAAGGTACATATACCAAGGGGAAGGGGTCTGCACTAATGTATCTTTTTGTTACCGCAGAAGCTCTAGAATATTCCGATGAGGCTCCACGCATGCACGGATTTTCCAGTTCCACTCTCTTTTTTGAGGTACGGCAACCAGAATTGTATGCAGTACTCCCAGGTGCAGCCTTATCAGCGTTTATACAATGGCATTATAAGGTTGGCTGTTTTATTTTCAATCCCCCTTTTAAATAATACCTAGCATGGAATTGGCATTCTTCACTGCTGTTGCACACTGGGTTGACACTTTCATTGAGCTGTCTACCAGCACACCAAGATCTCTTTCCTGATCCATCATGGACAGCTTAGAACCAATCAGCTGATAAATAAAGTTTTGATATTTTTTGGCCCAATGTGCATTACTTTACATTTTCTTATATAGAAACACATTTGCCATTTTGCAGCCCATTCTCCCAGTTTGGAGAGATCATTCTGGAGCTTCACGACCCAGAAAAGTTTTGTGTCATCTGCAAACTTTGCCACCTCACTGCTTATCTCTGTCTGTGGATCATTTATGAACAAGTTGAAAAGCACCGGTCCCAGGACAGATCACTGGGGCACACCACTTTTCGCCTCTTTCCATTGTGAAAATTGCCCATTGACTCCTACTCTCTGCTTCCTGGTTCTCAACCAATTCTCAGTCCATAAGACGACCTGCCCTCTTATCCCCTGACTGTGGAGTTTTCTCAGCAGCCTTTGGTGAAGGACTGTGTCAAATGCTTTCTGAAAATCCAGATAGATAATATCCACTGGTTCGCCCGCATCTACATGCCTGTTGAACTCCAAAGCCTTGGAGTTCTGGCTCAGGCTAGATCTGTCTAGATGTTTTGGCCCCAGCTAACATGGCCAGTGGCGAGGGATGATGAGACCTGAAGTCCAAAGCATTTGGAAGGTATGAGGCTGAGAAGGCCAGCCTGGAGGAAGGGTCAGGATGGGGATTTTTGTAGAATACTTCTTACTTGTGCCCCCCCCCCAAAAAAATTGCTCTAGAAGAGGTCCTCTAGACAAGTATGAAGGTAGAAGTGGGAAGAAGGAATCAATGAAAATTGCCGTCTTATACTCTTTCCTGCAGAAATCCTCAGCTGGATCTTGATCCTCTGTGTGTGGAAGTTGACCTCTTTGTAGAAGGGAGGCTTTGGATCCAATGAAATATGCAGTCATCAAGTGGGGCTTGTAGTGAGTGTACAAGAACATATGTGCTTGGTGTGTATGAACTAATTCCGGGTGACTCAAAAGACTAAGATATGGTTCTTATGGTGTGCATATATGTTTCTTATTGTGTGTGTGTTCATGACTGGTGATGCATTATGTATCTTTTAACCTTGCTTGTTTCTCTCTACAGTCCAGACCTTTCAGCCCTCCCGTCCACTCCTCCAGCCCTCCTCCAATAGCACCATTAGCACGGGCTGAAAGCACCTCTTCCATATCATCCACCAATTCCTTGAGTGCAGCAACTACTCCCACAATTGGTAACAAAAAAAGCTTTTTTATTTGAAGAATAGTTTTCATGAGCGGAATGGCTATCTTTTTGGTTTCTGAAACCCTTTGTTTGGTTATATTTTATTTGTTTCTGTTGTTATATTCATGTTATTTTAGAGCACTTTTTTAGTATTAAAAGAGAACTACAGTTTTGATAAACATTAGACCACTGTATCTGTGATACACAGAAACATATAATGGTAAGGGTCCAAAAGGATGCACATATGGTCTTCATAGGCACACATTTTTCCCCAAGTCATATAAACAGAATGTGCCCCAAATTCTACTGTGACCAGAAAGCTATTTGTTTTGTAATCGGGTGTGAAAGCTTCTATAGGAAAAGGTCAGGGAAAAAGATAGAATACAGCTCATTGACTTGGCAGATTTGCCACACTCTTGTGCCTAACTGTTTTTTAAACAGTGGAAGCTCACGCAGTAATTTGTGGATTCCATGTAACACTTTCTAATAAGTCACTCAGAAACAGTGCATACATAGAATAGTCATGTGTATCTCTTAGTATCCTGACAAATGAAGGTATTAAAGGTTTTAGTTTGTCACTCTGGGAGCTGTAAAGCAGCACTAATAACACAGCTCTTATGTAGCAGTACAAATTATTGCTAAATTGGTTAATGAATGTGGTTAAAAGGGAAGGCAGGCAGGCAGGCAGGCTGGCTGGCTGAGTTGATCTTAGTAGGGAAACAGGAAAGGTTGGTAGAAACTCAAAGTACAGTGTAGAATCAGAATGGGGAATGTGTGCATCAATAATGTTTCAGACTACAGTTTCCATGATCCCTCATTGCTGCTTTTGTTAGCTAGGTCATGTGAGTTGCATTCCAGCAACATCTGAAGGGCCACACGTCCTCATCCTTGATAGAAACTTAATGTATTTGCTTTGGGATTATAGAAACTGAACAGCTACAAAGCTTCAGAAAAAAACAGTTTAGATGTTGCTGGTTGGATCTGAAACATCTTCCAACTTAAAATGTGGAAAAGTGTACTTAAAGCTGTTTTCCCCCACCCCACCCTATGGAAACATTAGGTTGCCCTTGATTAATAATCTATCATTGACGCTGCCTAAATTCTGATGTCTTTTAGTTTTATTTCATTCTCTGGTCTACCTGTTCTCCCTCCCCTCATGCCACTTCTTCATCTTCTCAGAAAAATATATGTTTGGATCTCTTTGCTGTCCTGATTTCATTTGCAATGCCTTCTTCTTCTCCTATTTATTTTTAAACCGCCTTCTTCTTTCTGATATAGTTCTTTTGTGCTGCCGACTCCTGGTTCCCCTTTTTGACCAGCTTCTCCTTTCATCAGTGCTTCTGCTCTTCTACAGACCATCTCTGTCTCCTTGAGTTCTCATTGTTTGCCAGGTTGTTTTCTTTTATTTGTTTTCCCTTATTTTATATACCTTTGGACCCGTTCTGCTATTAGTCTGAACTTTGTGATGTTAGCATTCCTGCTATGTGCCTCCTATCTCAATTGTTTCTTGCCCATTTTCTAATCTGTATGGAAGAGGACAGGCATTTGAACTGCTGTTCATACTATCTACTTGAGTAGTTTTAATGAACTTAGAATGGCAACAAACTAGATATTCATGTCAAGAAAGCCAAATCCAGAAAAAAAAAACACCACAGTGGGTTTTTTTTGTTTTTTGTTTTTTGTTAGAGTTGTAGATTATGAAACATACTGCTGACTTCCTATTTATGAGATATTTTCATTTTTCAGTCCTAAAACAACCATGCCATTTTAGGATATTTAGTTCGCTTCTTTAAAAAAAAATTTAAAAAATGTTCTCAGCTACAGCATACATTCAGACCTCCACTAACAATATGTTAACTGTTGAAGCTGGTTTGAAGTGCTTTCCACTTTTGTTTGCCTTTCTGAAAAATCTTTGTGCACTTCTGTTTGTTTTAGTGTATTGGGTGTAATATGTGTGGGTGAGTGTGCTTGAGGCAATTTTCTAACGTTGAGTTCCCTACTTCTCACTTATGTTCTTTGATTCTCCTTGCTTGTTGGTCAGTGTGATGACCAGTGTGCTAGAAATGCATGTCAGTCATTGGACTGAGCAACATTTCTCATAAAACCTAATCTACAGTATTGTGGGGTTGTTGTTGTTTAATATCTAAGAGGCTGTGCCGTCAGTGCTTCAACTGCTTGTATGTGAAGTCTTCCTCTTTTTCACAAGCTGGTGTCTGAATGTGATATCAATCAGTGTAGTTTTGTATGAGTCACATTGGTATGGCACTGTTATCAGAGTAGTGCTTGCATTAATGGGGTGATATATAAATAAAATAAAATAAATAAACATTTATATCCCAAAATTCAGAGTTGTCGATGAGTCACATAAACGACTACTTCTAAGATAGAATTTTAGTCCAGGTTTTGTGCAATTAAAACTGATATTGGGAAAGCACATAATTTTCTCTTTCACTTTATATATAATTATATAAAGTACCCTATTTGAAAACAGTGGATTGAGCTGAGACATCCAGCGCAGCACCTTGTCCATTGAGAATTACTCAGTTTCAGCCTGTGATGTCTGCAGAGGTGGACGAGGTCCTTGATTGCTGTCGAGCTGCCTCCTCCTCCCTTGACCCTTGCCCAGCCTGGCTAATGAAAGCTGCCAGGCTGGTAATAACTGAATGGGCCACTGAAATAATAAATGGGTCTCCTCTTGAGGGCAAGGTTCCTCTTGCCCTTTAGGAAATGCTCATTAGACCCATTAGGAAGAGACTGAGCTTGGCAGTGGATAACATTGGTAATTATAGGCCTGTTGCCAGTGTTTCCTTAGCAAGGTAGTGGAGACAGTGGTGGCTAACGAGCTTCAGGCTCTCTTGGATGAAACCAATGCCCTGGATCCATTTCAGTTAGGCTTCGGGCCCCACCACAGCATGGAAACGGCATTGGTCACCCTGCTGGATGACCTGCTTAGGGAAGCCAACAGGGGCAAAATGTCCTTGCTCGTCCTCCTTGATATCTCAGCCACCTTTGATACTGCTGACAATGGTATCCTCCTGGAGAGACTCTCTGAGTTGGGGATCGGTGGCCTTGCTCTTGCTTGGCTCTGGTCCTTTTTTGAGAGCTGTCCCCAGAGAGTTCAGCTTGGGGAGAATGTATTGGCCCCATGGTCCCTCAATTGTGGGATCTCGCAGGGTTCGACCATCTCCCCAATGCTGTTTAACATCTATATGAGGCCGTTGGGGGGTCATCCAGGGATGTGGAGCTTCGTGTCACCAATATGACAATGACACCCAGCTCTGCATCTCTTTTTTTCCATCTGCAGTGGATGTCGTTCCATCCCTTGGGTGCTGCCTGGAGGCCATTCTATAATGGATGCAGTCGAATGGACTAAGGTTGAACCCAGACAAGACGGATGTCCTGTGGGTGGGGTGGCCCCAATATCAGTGGTTTGGGGAACTCCCTCTATTTTGAGGGATTGACTCTCACTACAAAGAATTGGTTCACAGTCTAGGGGTCCATCTTCACCCAGTGCTTACCATGGAGACCCAGGTAGCATCCATGGTTCAGTCTGCCCGCTTACATCTTTGGCGGACCACCCTGCTGCATCCCTATCTAGACACGAGGGCGCTCACCATGCCGGTCGATGTGCTCATAGTTTCAAGAAGAATGCTCTCTACTTGAAGCTTCCTTTGAAACTGATGCAGAAGCTCCAGATGGTCCAGAACACAGCAGCCAGGCTATTAACTGGGGTGAAAAGTTTTCACTGTATATGCCCTACCCTGGTCGCCTTAAACTGGCTACCTATCCACTTCTGCATTGATTTCAAGATGCTAACCATTACATACAAAGCCCTTAACGGTTTAGGGCCTCGATACCTGGCACAGCACCTTCTTCTGCCCAGTTCTACCCTTATCACCTGTTCCAGTCAGGTTGGGTGGCTGAGGGGCCTAACACCAAGAGAGGGAAAAAAACTAAAAATCAGGCCTTCTCAGCAGTGGCCCCTCGCCTATGGAACAACCTACCTATAGAGATCAACCTGGCTGCCTTGCTGAGGGCCTTCAAGACTAATCTGAAGACATGGCTATATAGGCAGGCCTTCCCTACAGCTGTTACCTAGCCTATCTTCCTTTTCTTTTTTCTCTCTTTCTTCTTCTTCTTCTTCTTCTTCTTCTTCTTCTTCTTCTTCTTCTTCTTCTTCTTCTTCTTCTTCTTCTCTTCCTTTCCCCATCTTGGACTCTGTAATTAACTTGGATTATACCTTAGTTTATTTTTTATATGTAAACCGACCAGAGTAGACACATTCTAGATGGGCAGTATATAAATCAAATCAAATCAATCGATTAGATAGATAGATAGATAGATAGATAGATAGATAGATAGATAGATAGATAGATAGATAGATAGATAGATAGATAGATAGATAGATAGATAGATAGATAGATAGATAGATAGATAGAT